GAGAGAGAGAGAGAGAGAGAGTAAATAAGTAAGTCCGTAAAACTCACAAATAAAGGTTACCCAGATTTACTGTCTTGTGACTCACAAATAAAGGTTTCCCAGATTGACCATGGCCAGTTTGTGATCAGGTCGGAGCTTGAGCGCCTGGAGAAACAGTAGTTCCGCTTCCGTTTTGTTGGAGAGGATTGTGCCCAGGTTGTTGTAGTAGCTGGCGTGGTGGGGGTTCAGTCTGTGGGACAGAGCGGGGGGAATATAGTACAACCAGCCCTAACGGTCACCTGTTTAACCCTATCCGTACGCCCTGGATTCATTTGTACCCCCGATGTTGTATTCTTCACATTTTAGAATACTTCTAGTGCGAGGATCTCTTTGAAACTTTCAGTATTTCTTTAAAAAATATTTTTTGACAGACTGCTATGCAAATCGTACGGATCGGATTAACGAGTGAATTTTCTCTTTGAAAAGTGGTGAAACAGAGTTCCCACCTCGTATGGATACGATGGTAAAACACGACGTACGGATAGGGTTAAGACAGTCACTGGTACAAAAGCTACTTCTTGGGGCAAATGCAGTCCAGCCAGCTCTAACGGCCACCTTAACTCATTAAACCCTGAGTTTTTTTCATCGTTTCCCGGAGTTTTTTTTCTACAGTCACCTAAACCTGGTGCACTATGTCTCATTATAACCCCAAAAGCTTGCCTCCAACTTCTAAATGGAGAAACAAAAGGGTTAGTCTTCACAAAAAACTTGGTTCTCGGAATAGTTCCGAAAAAAAAGAAACAAAAACTAGCACTAAATAAAACGAAAATGTTGTCCCTAGTATCGGACGACGCTCCCAGCATTCGGCGGGGCACAGGGTTATTACCGCTGAATGTTTCCAGCATCAGATATGGTTTAAAGAGTTAAGACAGTCACTGGTACAAAAGCCACTCTTTGGGGGAAAATACAGCCTAACCTGCTATAACGATCACCTGTTTAAGATAGTCACTGGTACAAAAGCCACTTTTTTCTTGTGGAAAATATAGTCCAACCTGCTCTGACGGTAACTTGTTTAAGACAGTGACTGGTACAAAAGCTACTTCTTGGGGAAAATATAGTCCAACCTGCTCTGACGGT